TTTTTTTCTTTTTGCTGGCCATGTGGAGTCTTTTTCCATTCATTAGTGAGCTGCTTTTTTCATGAACACAATTAGACAAAGGAATAAATCAGTCAACAAACATGGGATATAATTTTGGCAATACCGGGCAGTCTATGCTCTTATTTGCTTAACTGTATAAATCTTTCACCAGAATACAAATGAGGCCTGTTCCCTTAGTCTTGGGGTCGGAGGAAGAGAGGGATCAGGCCAGATCCTGCAGATTTGATGGCTCCCACCGACCATAGCTGGTGTTGAGCAGTTTCCCTCATTACAGCAATTCAGCATTCCCACTATTGAGGAATTGCGCGGAGATATTTCTTCCATTTCCTTTCTCGTATTACAGAGTTTAAGAAACATCCCCAGGACAATAGCTCCCTGAGAGCTGTGTCTCCATAAAAGGTTTTTATGTCTCTCCTTGTCTGAATATCTGCATGCCTCGCTGTTTTTCATGCAGTGGCCTTGTGATGCTCTTTCAAAGAGAGGGAGGGTTATCTTTGCTGCTTCTTGGGCAGGGAGGTGAAATATGCTCATAACTATTCATCTATCACACCTCATGGACCTCCTGGTGCTCCCAGGACACAGCCCACAGAGATGCAGTTTCTCTTTGCAAGGAGAAATGAAAGCTTTTCTGAGTGCAAGAGGCAGCAATCCCCTCCCTGGCATTCCCAGCCAGCTCTCATGCTGGGTATGGATGCACACCCACAAGGGCAAGGATTTGTGACTGATTACACTGGAGCAGGATTTGGTTCATCCCCCTGATTTTATTGTGTAGCTGAAGAGACCTACCAGCTCACATTCATAGAGGATTTAAGGCCTAGAGATGCCCTTCGTTGCTGGGCAATACATCTGCACTTCCATCCCTTTTCAAGGCTCTTGAGGCTGTAAAGCTTGTTTTGACCCTCTGCAGGCAGGAGAATCCCACCTAGGACACCTTGTGTTCCTCCAGATCATATTAAGCTTCCTCTGTGAAAAAAAATACAAGTTCAGAGAAGGATCTGAGGTTTATTTCCCCACAGTTTTTCCTTTTTCAACCAACTTTTGGTATTGATATGGTTGGATTTCCCCTACCCACACATGTGCTGCCCTTGCTTTCCATTTCTGCCCAAGTAACATAAACAGTAAGCCTTTATGAATTTATTTTAAGATGTTCTCAGATTTCACACTCTTTTTTCTTTCAGAGATTTCAGGCCTCAAGAAAGATATACCAGGGAAGGCAACTATAAATACTCAAAAAATGTTGAGAATAAGTGTCAAGGCTTAACACATTTTATCACAAGACATTTATCTCCTTGCTTGCTTTCACCCTAGTCTCCCTGTAATATCTATCCATTTAAAGTTTATTTATCCCACCCAAGAAAATTCATTGTCTCTTTGTAACCTGTTTCTCTCCAGTTTTAAAATTAATCTTTATTTTTCAAAGATTGCTTGTCAGTGACCAAGTGCTACCCATGGTGTAGTCTATAATTGAGCCAGAAGGAGTCTTCAGATAAAAATGAAGTGCCAGCTTATGCCATCTGTCATTAATGATGCATTAACACTACAGGTGTGCATGAACTGGCCCCTAGCTGGATGGCTGCAAACACAATGTTCAGTGGAGCATAGCAGGGAAGAGTTAACCTCCATCAAACTTAGGCTCCTGCAGACATTTTCAGACAGACTTCTCACTTAGGGGAGGAGGAGGATCTGCCTTGTGACAATTACAAGCTTGTGACAATTTCCATCAGTGCTCATGCTGCCACATTTAGCCCTTATACTGGCTGATTCCTGGGGCAAGATTTTAAAAATCAGGTGCTGAAAGTCAGGAAAGTCCAAGTTCCTGTGCAAAAGACCTTGCAAGGGGACACTGAGATGATTTGAGGCTGCCAACATCTTGGCCAGGTTGGGAGAATATGGCTCATCCCTGCATCCTTGGTCTAGGGTAACGTGGACATAGCTTGGCTCATGGCTTGTAAAGGTGGCTTAAAACTGCCACCCTCCTGCCTTTGTCTTCTCTGTGCCAAAGTGCAAGGATGGGAAGATAAATGACCCTGCTCGAAGAGACTATTGCTAGAAGAGGATCACTGAGTTTGGCCCAGGGCAGTTTCTTACTTTGAACCTGATCCGGAATGCTAAGGAGCTGGCCTGGGCACTGAGCCATCAAGAGGCATTCAGGGATGCACAGGAGCTGAGCTTGATGATCATAGCTTATTCTCCATGGACACCTCTACACCAGGCACCAAGTTTATTTTCCAGCTTCCTGGAACTGTGTCTTTTGCCCCAGAGGCTGAAAATTAAACTCTGGTGTATTTTTTCACTCCATATTCCTTGCCTATGCCAGTAAAGAGTATGTGGCTGGTTAGCTGTCTGCACTGCGTGCCCTGGCAGGACAAGGCTCATATCTGGTGAAGAGTGGCTGCATCTGCAAGTCATTGCTTCCTTCGGTTGCCTTGCTGAGATCTGTTTTCAGTTGCTGCCGAGGCAAACTGAATAGTCAAAATATTGACTCTTTTCAAGTCCAAGTCAGCAAGGTTTCCTGTAAACAGTGTTTTACATTGCATTTGCATGAGTTGCTTTTTTAGTTGCTCAAAACCTCCATAAACTGAGTTCTGTCATTAATTTTGCTCTTCTATTCAATGCTGGTAATTTGTACATTGTGCCTATCCAGTGCAAACCAGGGAGTGATGATGTTGGTAATGTGCTGAATGACATTTGAAGTGTAGGCATACCCATTGTTTCTCTCTGAGATGAACCAAATGTTGAGCACTGATCCTTTGCTAAACTGGGATTTACTTTGGGTAGTCTTCCTTCTTCAGTAACAAATACAAATTCTATGTTCTTGTGAGTTTGATCTGTTTGAGTGCTGGTATCACTGTAGGAAAGTCATTCTTTAAAGGTGCTTTTTCACTCATGTTCTAGGTGAGTTTGTGAAAGGTTGTCTATGCAGTCTCCAGTGATATGGAACCCACTCCTGGTGAAAGATAAATATTTGGTCTTCCCCTCCTTCATTAGGAGGTAGAGCCTGGCAGCTATCACCAAATCCCAGGGCTTGGTGGTGACAAGTGTTGAATAAAAAGGTGTACCTAGAGATTTTACAGTTCACTCTTCCTAGACTTGGTTTGAAACCTACAGCCCTGACAACCACTCTGGATCCAAGCCAGCAAATGTCTGTGTGTGTCCCTGTATTGATGTGTCTTTGTCAGCCTTCATGGCGAGTCAAGCCATGGAGATGTTACTGAATTAGAGGGACTGGCTGACATGGTCAGTGATAGGGCCTCATGCTGGGAGTTCTACATGAAATGTGAGAGCTGGATCAACCAAAACTTCAAGTTTTTCAACAAGGTGAAAGTGGCAACGGTTGGCCCCAAGCCTGAGACAGAATATGCACCTATGTAAATGCTGGCTCGGGACTGACTGGACATGTAGCATCCACAGCATGAGGACCATGGGTGATGGTGATGCTGTGTGAGCCAAGGGTGCATACTCATCAGGAATAATGCAAACCATGTAATGGGGCATTTGAGGAGGAGCATAGCCAGGATGTTCAGTGAAGTTTTCGTTCCCCTTGGTGCTGGTGAGGCTAACCCAGTGTTGGGCCTCCCAGTTCAAGAGAGTTGTAGACAAACAGGATTGGACCTAGGGGAGAGCTACCAAAAAGGTCAGGGGTCTAGGGTACCTAATATTTGAAAGAGGTGGAGGGAATTTGGCTTGTTCAGCCTGTCAAGGAGGAGGCTGGGGTGATCTAACAGTCACTTGCAACTAGTTAAGGGCCCCTCCAGATATGCATCCAGACTCCTCCTTGTACTGGCAGCTGATACCACAACAGCCACAAGCCACAGTCTGAGACATAAAGATCAGGCATTAGGAAAAACTTCTTTCCCAGATACTCAGGCCAGGGGCAAATCTCTTTTCTTGAAGAGTCTCAAAGCTTGCCTAGAAAAAGTCACATTTTAACTGATGTGTTGAAGCAGAAGGGTGGATGAAATCTCCAGTTCCCTTCCTTCCAAAACTCCTGTAATTCTACAAAATCAGAGAATTGGAATCTCTGCTTTCTTTTTCTCTTAAAAGTAAAGATAATGCTCAACCAGACTTCCAGGCTTTAACAAGTAAGAAAACAAACAAACAAACTCCAAGCGAACAAACAAGCAGAAAAACAAATAAAACCCTAAGTGAACAAGCAAGCAAATAACAAAACCCCCAAAGGACAAATCAGTCTTACTTATTTAATTCCCTAGTTTTCAGTCAGCCTCATGATTTGTGTAGATTTAATAACTTATTTTACTTTTTTAATGATCTGGGGGGGCATTGGCTAGTAATCTGTAGTCTGAGTGGAGTCACATATGAACATTTGCTAGCTCAGACTTTGCAGCACCTGATAAAGGAGGGAAATGGCTCAAGTAGAGGTGGTGATGAGAGTGACTTTAATTGCATGCAAGACCTATGCCTGTTTCAGGATCTGTAGAAATCTACTGCAAGAAGCATGAGAACATGGAAATAGCTGTTGTGTTGTAAGCTTCACTTGCAGCCTCCAAAAATAAAATCAAAGTACCTTTGATGAGGAATTAAAACAGGCATCTCTTCCAAGCCACCAGGGCGATAAAAGTGAAAGAAGTGAAACAGTTAAAGAGTTGAAGAGCTTGTCACGTGTTTTTGTTTGGGGCAATGTTCACTTTCACTTCACTCAAGCTGATCTTCTTTATGATGGCACTTGAAGCAATGAGCCCCCCTGGGATAAGGCTGAAGAATGAAATCTGTGATTTGATGCAGCGGTTACCTTTGATCCTGCCTGGCAAGTAAGCAAAGGAAATAGGTGAGGAAAGAAAGAAAATAAAGAGAAAGAAGCAATAAATCCATGGCATGCTGACTCAGCACCTTTCACACTGTAATCCTTGAACTGTACACTCAGCTTCAGCACCTTATCTACGCTTCACATTCTCAGCTAGGAAGTACCTTCGTGTCATTTTTCACCCTGTCAGACTGCAACAAGTCATTCTGTGAGCACTATGAACACAAAAGCCAGCACTGAAGGTGAGGAGGAACCCTCAAGAATGAGAAATGAGACCTCGAGGGAGAGTGGCTCCTTGGGAGACGACAAAAGGCAGCAAGTGATCCTTGTCGCCTACCTGATTGCAGCCTTAGACCTGACCTTTCTCTTCATGCAGATGGGAGTCATGCCTGTGAGTATGGGTTCTCTTGCTTCACATACATGTTTTCTTCAATGTCAGGCTGTGTAGTCTTCCAGCAAAGTCAGAAGAGAGTTTCTAGCAGGAAAAAGAAAAGGTATTCTTGATACTGAAAGGAGTACTTGGTATTCTTACCTACCAGGCAAGCTGTGACTGTGTTCAGGGTACGCCCAGGCAGTAAAACCTGCCTTATTACTTGCACTGCAGTAGCACCTAGAGACCTTTCCTGGCCCGATGGCTCTGGATGAAGTTGATGTAGGTTGCTTGCAGTGTAAGAGTGACCCAACCAGCAGGTAATAGAAATCAGAGATTTCAGATCAGAAATGAGTTTTTCTGAGTGTGTAATAAACCAATTCTGAGTGGGATTCATTGCTTCTCACTTACTGGACTCTTCTGTCTGATTTTAGAGAATCAGAGAGTACTTGAGGTTGGAAAAGACCCCTAAGATCATTGAGTCCAACTATAAACCTAACACTGCCAAGTCCCCCACCAAACCATGTCCCTACATGCCACATCTATGTATCTTTTAGAGACCTCTAGACATGGTGATTCCACCACTTCTGCACTTACAGTGAAGAAACTTTTCCCCATTCCCTGGCACAACTTGAGGCCATTTCCTCTTGTTACTTGTGAGAAGAGATCAACCTCTTGGTGAGAGTGATAAGGTCTCCCCTGAGCCTCCTTTTCTCCAGGCTATACCCCTCCAGCTCCCTCAGCCATGCCTCATAAGATTGTGCTCCAGATCCTTTGCCAGCTTCATTACCCTTCTCTGAACATGCTCCAGCACCTCAATATCTGCCTTGTCATGAGGGGCCCCAAAACTGAACACAGGATTTGCATTGCAGCCTCACCAGTGCCAAATACAGGGGAATGATCACTTCCCTAGTCCTGCTGGCCACACTATTTCTGGTACAAGACAGGATGCCATTGGCTGCCTTGGCTCCCTGGGCACACTGCTGGCTCATGTTCGGCCACTGTTGACCAGCAGCCCTAGGTCATGATTGTGCTCCCTTTGCCAGCTTCATTACCCTTCTCTGAACATGCTCCAGCACCTCAATATCTGCCTTGTCATGAGGGGCCCCAAAACTGAACACAGGATTTGCATTGCAGCCTCACCAGTGCCAAATACAGGGGAATGATCACTTCCCTAGTCCTGCTGGCCACACTATTTCTGGTACAAGACAGGATGCCATTGGCTGCCTTGGCTCCCTGGGCACACTGCTGGCTCATGTTCGGCCACTGTTGACCAGCAGCCCTAGGTCGCCTTGTCATGAGGGGCCCCAAAACTGAACACAGGATTTGCATTGCAGCCTCACCAGTGCCAAATACAGGGGAATGATCACTTCCCTAGTCCTGCTGGCCACACTATTTCTGGTACAAGACAGGATGCCATTGGCTGCCTTGGCTCCCTGGGCACACTGCTGGCTCATGTTCGGCCACTGTTGACCAGCAGCCCTAGGTCATTTTCTGATGGGCAGCTTTCCTGCTCATATGAGTTCCTGGATCTATGATGCACCTGTCCACCCCTGTCTCTGGAGAGCCCATGGCTCCTGGGAGACCTCTCTGCTAGTTTTGTGCCTCCAGAGGCAAATTGCTCCCTTCTTTGGGAACTAAACCAGTCCATTGTGCTCTCAGTCAGTAGAGATTGGTGTAGTCAATCACCAATGAACTATAGGGGATTTGGAGACCTGGGTGGAGAGCATGTATTTGGGAAGTGGAAAAGAGTGGGGCACCTCCATACCTTCCCAGAGCTGAATTTGACTAAGAATGTTAAACAAATCTTGGCAAATACCACAAAACAAGAACATGAATCAGAAATAGCTGTCCCTTGAATATACAGTATTTAAATCATAAAATCACAGAATAGAATCATCAAGGTTGGAAGAGACCTTTAAGATAATCAAGTCCAACCATTAACCTGTCAGTCTGCTGGAACCCCTAAACTCTAAACCATATCCTCCAGCGTCAGATCCAGATGACTCTTAAACACTTCCAGGGATGGTGACTCCACCACCTCCTTGGGCAACCTATTCCAGTGCCTGAGCACCCTAACAGGGAAAACATTTCTCCTAACATCTAATAGGAATCTCCCCTGTCTCAGCTCATGGCCATTCCCTCTAGTCCTGTCCCTGCAGCCATGGCAGGGATGACCATCCCACACCTCTCTACAACCCCTTTCAGGTAGTTGTAGGGAGCCATGAGGTCACCCCTGAGCCTCTTCTCAAGGCAAAACAAACCCAGTTCCCTCAGCCCTTCTTCACAGGACATATTTTCCAGACCTTCTGACCCTCTTTTCCCTTTGCTGGACTTGCTCCAGCTCCTCAATGTCCTTTTTAAAGTGGGGAGCCCAAAGCTGAACACAGTACTCAAGATGTAACCTCACCAATGCCAAGTCGAGGAGGATGATCACTTCCCTAGTCCTGCTGGCCACACTATTCTTGATACAGAATAATAAAAATAAAAGCCCCCAAAGTATTGTGGTTCTTCAAGGTGTGCACCTGTGGTTTTTTGCAAGGTCAGGTTGTGGGTGTACCATCCAGATTATAAGTAGAGGCTGTATTTTGTCCATGTTGCACTTGCACTGATTCTGGCTTGCTTGGTTAAACAACAGCTCCAAGACCTTACTGTAGTCATCTTCTGGAGAGTGCTTGGGCTGCCCCAGGTGCAGGGTCTGGATGCAGGAAGGCACTTAAAATTTTCATCATCCCCATTAGGAGTTGCTGAATATATTCAACTGTGTTGGACTGCAAAGGTAAATGGTGATGCAGATTTGCCACCTGGTGCAAAATTGATGCTTTAGGTCACATCCCCCTCATATTCAGGGTGTGGGATGGAGACCTTTGGTCTTTATTTAAGCAGCCTGTGTCTGGCCCAATGAAGATTTCATCTGTAGATATTGAAACTGAAGGATGTGTTTGTTTGGAACTATGGCCCTCTCTGCACATGCATTAAGCTCTTTATTCGTAAGTATAGCATACTTGTTTTTCCCTGACCTGTTGAGTTGTTTTTTTCCTTTTTTTAGTACTTGACAAAGACCCTAGGTTTGGATTTAGTATGGTTTGGCTACCTCCAGACTACCTTTGGTGTCCTTCAACTCGTGGGAGGTTACATTTTTGGAAGGTAAGTGAGAATGATTCTCATGACCTTTTACATAGCTGAAAAAGGCCAGACATTTTTATACTTTCATAAAAATAATTTAGTTCTGTTTTGTGCTCCTGTTGAAATGTTTGAATATTTCATAATGAGCAAGGGAAAAATAAATACTATAATTGGAAGTACTGCAACATAGAAGCAGCCTTTACATTAATTTAGCTACATTTTAATGACACACATTTAAGTGTAATAATACACTGGGAATGGGCTTAAAACATCCAAGTCCTCAGAGCCCATGCTCTAACAGCTTAATCCTGCAAATGTTTTATAGCCATGTGTAACCTTAGAAATGTCTTGTGCCTGGGAAACTGATTAAAAAAGGGGTTATTTATTGATGCTAAGTAGAGCTGGCAATGAAAATAATTGAGGATCATGTCATTTCTACAGCTGAATCTCACTATCTGCAACCATTTTGAATAGAAAGTTAGACTTGCATGGATCTTTAAGAATTTTTAAGAATATCTATAAACTCATCTTTCAAAATAAGAAAAGAGTGGAAAAACTCAAGTTTTCTGCCTCTTTACCCCATTGAACATACTTTCCTGTTCCTAATGAAATGCAAACCCAACCTGAGTGGTGTAGTATGCATTCCCAAAGAGCAGAAAGAAAAATTGAAGGAAGTGTGTAATCCAGTGATAGAAAACTGAGGCTGAGAAAATCTAGCTTTTCTTCTTGATCCTACTACTGGTCAACAAATTAATAGATGGATAGGGAGCTGGTGTGTGCCACAGTTTTCCTGCATGGGATTTACTTTTCTGGTTCATGTAGACTGTGAGCTTTACAGAATCCTCTGGTATATGGTATGTGGGACTTCAAGGACCTGATCTCTAAAAGCCCTTGGACACATTTTGAAGTAAATAACAATAACATTAGATTCTACAGTGCCACTTGGAAGAAAATGCATTCCCAAGAATGGAGATGGTGTGAAGGGCCCACTTTTAATACTTTTTCTGTTAATTTAAAAACCTAGACAAATATTTCTGTCCTGGATCTGGTGCCATCTGAAATCTGGTTTTCCTCTGTGCATGTCATTCACAAATACCCAGAAGAGCTGCTGAAGGAAAGGAAAATGGTAAACCAGAATCTTTCTGGGACTGAAGGTGTCTGTTGCCAGATTGAAGCCAGAATTTGCAGTGTAGGTTTGAGATAAAAAGGGGTTTCCTACATGTGAGGCTGCTTTGACCTCAGTGTAAAGGTAGATAAACAGGAAACAGGAAGAAGGGCAATAAGAGAGAGAAAAATGTGTTGTTTATGTCAGTTTCCTGTGTTCTTCTTACTTGATGCTCCTAAACAGCCATAAGAATCATAGAGTCATAGAATCAACTGGGTTGGAAAAGACCTCCAAGATCATCAAGTCCAACCCTACTGTGGTTACTAGAACATGGCACTAAGTGCCACATCCAGTCCCATCTTGAAAACCTCCAGGGATGGTGAATCCACCACCTCCCCAGGCAGCACATTCCAATGCCTGATTAGTCTCTCCGTAAAATTTTCTTCCTAATATCTAACCTAAACCTCCCCTGGCAGAACTTGAGTCTGTGCCCTCTTGTCCTGCTGCTGGTTGCCTGGGAGAAGAGACCAACCCCCACCTGACTCCAACCTCCTGTCAGGGAGTTGCAGGGGGTGATAAGGTCTCTCCTGAGCCTTCACTGAATTTACTCTTAAGTAACAAAACAAAAAACCCCACACCAACCCTGGATTATGTAGCAAATGGTGGTCTTTAGGTTGCAAACAGCAAATGTAAACTTCCCAGGCTTTCATGTAAACACCGAAGTTTTGATCTGTACCTCTACCTCAGCACAAAGCCTTTTAATTACTTGTGCTCAGATTTCTTTGTAGACCAGTCCTGGCATCTTTTGGGTGGTTGTTCCTCTTAGTGTAAGCACAACTAATTGCTATGCAAGGTAACATTCTACTGCTAACTGTAATATGCTACTTCAATAAAATAAAAGAGGGAGAAATTCCAATGAAAAACACTATCTAAGGCCTGTTTTACGGTCATCTTAGTCCCAGTTGCTCAAACACTTTCTGTAGTACTCTCAGACTTTGTCCAGCTTAGCTTTCTTAAGTATCTTGGAGTTGGATTACTGCAAAGAGTCAGAGTCTGGCAAAACCTGATCTGGCTAGATTGTTTGTTTGTATTTTGGAGTGGTTTGGATTTCTTTTTGTTTGTTTGTTTTTGTGTTTTGTTGGGATTGTTGGGGTTTTTCCCCTCAAATAGAAGAAAACTTGTATTACTATTGTGGAGTCTAATTTTTTTTTGTCTGAATAGAAAACTGACAGCCTTGTACCATTTCTGTACCAGGTTTGCAGATCAGTTTGGTGCCCGAGCAGCCTTAATTCTATCCTGTGCATCTGGAAGTGTCTTCTTCCTGCTTATGTCCATCTCCACTAGCATCCCTCTCCTCTTCCTCTCCAGGCTGCCTGGAGTGTTCATGCATGGGATACCAGGTAAGGCTTTGATTGACTTACTCCCCTATACTTGCTCATATTACTGGAAGTTAACAGGTTCAACAGCATGAAGGAAGGCAGGAGGAACATTTATTGGTCTTCAGTGGTGAAATGATGGGATCAAGAAGCAGTGGGTGTATTGGTTATGGAAAGTAACACTTAGTAGCCCATAGTCTCAGGCCCATTCTCCTGTATTATCTTGAGCAAATTGTTTGGACATGACCATCCAGACATGGGTGACAATCACTCGCTGACAGCAGTGCTATCCCAAACTTCCTAGCTGCCTTCTTGCAACCAGGATATTTTATAGGAGAGCTTTTCCCTTTCTCCTGGTAAAATGAGCATATTGGAGAAATAAAACATTATTACAAAAATACCTTTGATTACCCACCAAGCTGTTCTGCTTCAGTTGACATTTCCCATATTTTTCTAGTAAAGAACATAAAACTTCAACTACTAGAAGTCCATGTAACTCACGCAAGAGGACTCAAGTTGATACGGTGTTAAACTGCTTCCTGCCATTTGTGAAGTGGTTTATTTGAGTGGTTTAAATGTTTTTGTTTCCTATGACTGATAGGCTGAACCAATTCCACTCAGCAGTGTGCATGATCATTTGCTCTGGGGTTGAAAGGACTGTTTTGTGGCAGGCACCGTTTCTGTGGCCTGAAGATCTGTATAGAATTTGGGTTGGAAAAGACTTTAAAGATCATCAAGTCCAACAAAAATCTGGTCTCTATACTTCTCCCCCACACCACCACCAGGTACTTCCCAAAGGGACTTCTGTCTCCACATGAAATTGATGGAGTGTCCAAATGTATTTGACAATCTCTGCTAATCAGACTGTTATGTTCAAAACTGATGGAGTGTAAGGTTCCCAGAAGGGAGGCCAGTGCTTATTTGGAGGCTCTCTTCCATGCAGAGTACGAAACTTAGGAGCTGGGGAAACTGTTGCTGGCCAGAAACCAGCCCAGAGAAGTTTTAAGTGAAAAAAAAATTCAAATATCTCTTAATGACTTTGCAATAAATCCATGGGGTCTGCTGGAGCACATGCTCAGACCCTGTGGCAAGCTTCTTTCAAGAGATTGAGTTTTTTCCCCCTGCAGGTGCTCAGAAGGTTATTACAGACATGACTACTCCTTCCCAACGTGCTGGTGCTTTGGGGAAGCTGGGTCTCTGCTTTGGAATAGCAATGATTGCTGGCTCTGCCCTGGGAGGTGTCCTCTCCAAATTCGGGTGAGTAGCCAACTTGTTTGGTGTCGATTTTATTGCAACCACTGAGGGAGCTACTAAGGAATATTTTTCTCCCCCTCCAAGTCTTTGATGGTATCTTACTGCTGGTGGCAGTAGAGGATCATACCAGAACTCAAAAGTTTCCTCTCCACGCTCCTACAAAGAACTATTCCCACTGTTTTTAAGAGGACCTTGTTGAATATCTTGCCTTCTGACTACTTAAATTGATTTAAAAACAATCTGAAGTGAAAACTAGATTCTGTCTGTCTCCTGATGGTCTTTGTCTCTCTGAAAAGCAGCCCACACAGCATAGTCTGCTTTCAAGAAATGGTGTTGTACTACTGAGAAATGCAAATCAGGAGCAGTGTGAAACTCATGGGGAAACTGGTGTCCTTGGGGATGCTCAATATAGAGCAAGACCTTCAGAAAGGGGAAGGCAAGCTTGGGACAATGGGGGGAAATAGTGAGGAGGTCTAACCCTGTCAGAGCCAGATGAAGCATGTGCCTGCCTTTTCCTTGTTTCCTCTCCACAGCCTGGCACACCATAGTGGACTGCCACCTTCTTTTATATTCCCCAACACAAAAGAAATGCCTGATTTTACCAGTCTCTGTTCATCATTAGTAAAGGAAGCTCAAAAGATGTGGTTATGTCAGTAAACCTTGTAGGCAAGGAAGTGCATGTGGCTGTAATCTTCCTGGAAGATTCCTCAGCATTGCTCTGCTGGGGGAGGGTGGGGTGGGGGTGGTAATAACTTGTGAACTTTCAAGCATTTGTTTTGCTTTGCTTATTTTTATTATGGACACTTGCTTCTGCAGATTCAGGTTAGCATGGAAATAACTCTATAGCATAGGATAGAGGGTAAAAATCACTCACACTTGTCCTAGCATCATTAGCCCTGTGGACTGTGTATAGTGGTACATCTGGTTGTTCTGCATAGGGCGCAGTGGGTTACAGTGTGGGGTGTCATGTGTTGCTGTCTGAACCCCGTTGTGCATTCAGGTGCTGCAGTGATGCCACTTTGTGTCATGAATCTTTGCATAGGTTAATTGAGTAGAAGACTGTAACCTTGCTGCCTTAGGGTGCAGTCCTGAAAACTGTTCGCCGCTGTACCTTGGCAGTGTTGGGCCAAATTAATTGGTGCAGAAAATCTCAGGGGTTTTCTTCCTCTTGCTTGAAAACCTTAAAACGGTTTTCCTTAATTCTGTTGTGTTTGGTGCCTGTGCTGTGTTGTTCAAGTGACACGAGTCTGGCTAGGAGAATTTGTTTTGTAGTTGTTATATGGTTACATAAAATGCAAACTGGAGATGTACATAGTTTTAACTAATTCAGCATATAAAAATATTTTTAGATGTTGCTGGTTGAGTGCTGGTTTTCCTAAGTGTTATAATTAATAAATCTTCGGTTGTATGTCCATATTAAAACATAAACACTGAAGCAGCATTGTTATCTAGCAGAAATTTCTGGGGTTTCACTTTGCAGCATATGCATCAGTCACTGGTTTATAGAAAAATGGGCAGTGGGACAGACTCTCCTGTTTCAGTTAATTAGTCAGAGACATTTAATTGAACACAGTCTAGCTTTTGGATGTTAGGGCTTGGTGCTATCAGACAGCAGGAGGCCTCCAGACTCCCCACTTACTTTGAAAGCTTCTGGACCTTAAACTTTGTGCCTGCAGCATAACACTGAGAAAAGTGAACGTTGCCCTTAATTATAGGAAAGCAAGGGACCTGGGCCAGGAAAACGACACAGCTCTTGGCTTTCCCGAGCAGGGGTTGTTTCCCTCGCACCCAGAGGAGGGCAGCTTCGGCTCGCTGGTCCTGCCTGGAGCCCGAGCAGCACATCGCAGTGGTTTTGGGGCTGCTCTTCTGTCCCGCTGCAGGACTAGAGAAAGCAGCTTGTCTGTCGCCAGCATTTGGTTTTCTCCATGCGGATGTGTATATCCCTCCGAAAGAAC